ATTTGACCACGACATAGTGCAGCTTTCTGAGTCGATAAGAATCTCATCTTGTGACGTTTAATAACCGCTTATCCCAGTCGTATCATCTCTTATGCACATGCATGCGCCATGATGCCTGGCCAGGCGGGCCCATGTCGCTATGTTTGGTATCTGTGCCAGGGCAGTGTGCTAGTATTTGGGTTACATGGTCGATATGATGGCACATGCTGAACCACGGCCAAGAATATGGTTGTGTATGTAACATGACATTGTGATCTTGTGGAGTTGTATGCGAGGCGCAGTATGGGTGCATGTTTATCGGTGATCCTTCCAGTCGGGGTGGGGTTAAGAAAGTTCAGCCTCACGTCGACCCCAGCCCCTCGGGTCGCCCGTGTCTGACGCTAGTAGTAAGACAATACACCTGTTTTGTTAGCTCTGCGGTATCATACCCGCATGTCATCAATTCAGGACAAAGCTCCACCAGAACCCCATGCCGAGATGGTAAACGGCACCACCGTGCTCAGCCAGCCACCCCTTCACAGTGCACAATGCCAAGTAAACGTGAAAGAGAGTCCCATCCTTTCAGACGAACACAATGCAGCCGGAGATTTCGAGTATGAAGGGACACGCACGTAACTAGCTTGTGCAACCGCCAACACCAACAAGCAGCAGTGATTGTCCAACGTCTAGTAGCAGACCGTTGCCATGATTTTTGGGGCTGAAATGGCGGGTCGCTTAGCGATGCAGCCAAAGATCCCTTTGGTCATAGGGCGGCTCAACGCAGCCGAGACGAAAATACTCGCTTTGGACAAGGTTACGGTTCCTAGCGAAGGAACCTGAAAGCGGGGCTATGCCAAAGGCCCACCTGAAGCACAACAAATGGCGCCCAGAATAGGGCGTCGAGGTTGGCAGTGCGGCGTAGCGCAAAATGAACGTGTAGGCTATTCCCAGTATGGGGGGCTATGCTGGGCATTTTGGCCAGACATATTACTGTCCTGGTATGCTCCCATCTAGAACTGCATATCTCTGATACTATCAGAGACATTACCACTGTTGTATTTTCTTTCACCATGCGCTCGCCAATCGAGTTCGAAAAGTCGCACCACTATGACCAGTGCCGTGACAGCGTTGAAAGCGACAGATCCTCTTCGCGCCACAGTGTTGACGAGGAGGCTCAACAATCGTTCGCAGATGATGTGCCCCTAGCACCCTGTCCTCCACCCGCACAGCCCTACTCTGCGTTCTCACTTAATCGAAGACGGTTTATCCTGGCTGTTGTCACAGCGGCCGGCTTCTTTGGACCACTTTGCGGAGCAGTCTATCTGCCCTCACTCAGACTCTTTCAGAAGATCTTCAACGCTTCTGAAGCCGTGATCAATGGAACAGTCTCGATATACATGGTTGTATTTGCCATTGCAGTAAGTATCCCAAGGCAGTCTCCCTAACACGTGCTAACCTCAACTAGCCTCTCTTTGGTGCGGCAGCTTCCGATGTTGGTGGCAGAAAGACGGTATACATGGTCGGTCTCGGAAGCTTTCTTATCGCCAACACGTTACTCGCTACACTCCCAGCTTACATCTGGCTACTATACATTCTCCGTATCTTTCAAGCGTTTGGATCATGCATCGTCTTCTCCGTTGGAGCTGGTACCGTGGCCGACATTACTGAGCCTGCAAGCCGTGCGTCCGCTTTGGCTTGGTTCCTCATGGGACCTCAGCTTGGACCGATCCTGGGGCCTCTGATTGGTGGTCAATTTGCGACGGAGTCGCGGTGGAGATGGGTGTTTGCCTTCCTCTCGATGACAAGCTTCCCGGTATACCTCGCCATCGTCTTCTGCATGCCAGAAACCCTACGCTCTCTAGTTGGAAATGGCGCCAGCATTGCCAAACAACCCTGGATATCGATGCCAAAGCTGTGGACCAAGCCTTGTACCGACATGAATGTTCCCAAAGTTCCCCGACCTTCGTTCCGCAAGTTCATGCGTCTCTTGAAGTACCCACCGCACCTGATTGTCTGCTTCAATGGGGCATTTCAGTTTGCTGGTCTGTATGGCATGTACATTTCCTTTCCTACCATCTGGCAAGAAGGCTATAACTGGACGACTGCCGAGGTTGGTTATGCTTTCCTCTGTCCCGGTATCGCCATGTTCCTCGCTTCCATTGTTGTTGGGCGGCTTTCGGATTACATGCGGAAGAAGGCCATAGCCAACAGCCCAGATGGAAAAGTAGCACCCGAACGACGAATTGCAATCCAGATTCCAGGATTCCTCTGTGCGGCTGCTGGAAAATTAATGTTTGGTTGGTTTACGCTTAACCATCTACACCCAGCGTTAGGCCTCTGTGGCTCAGCGCTCGCAGCGGTTGGCGTCTCTATAGTTTTTGTAACGAGCACCTCTTTCCAGACGGAATGTGATCCTACTCAAACTGCCAGCTTGGTGGCACTGGGAGGCTTTCTCCGCAACGTAGCCGCAGCAATTTGCGCAGCCATCATGGGCAGCATTCTAGATGGAATGGGGTGGGGATGGGCGTTTACTGGTCTGGGTATCATGGACCTGCTTTGCGTCCCCGGAGTTATTCTGATTCTGACTCGTGGGGCGAAGTTTCGCGAGGAATTGAAGCGAGGATAGCATTAAGCTGTGATGTTTGCTGCGCGCTCAGGGGGCTTGAGCAAAAGTAGATTTTCTGCATAGCGAGGTGTTACTGGGCCTTTGATCTATTGATTTTACAATATTATAATGAACGATGATGGAACGGAAGCCTGGTCGATATGTATGACCAAAAGAATTGATTTGCATCATGGTGACGCCACATGTCCCCGCTTGGTCGCTCCATACACATTAATGATATTGCTGACAATAACTTCATTCAAACCGGCACTTAGGGGCAACTCTGAAATGTCGTAAGAACCAGTATTGATGTGTCATGAGTCGGAAAAGTTGGGTGACTACGCTTTTCGTGAGGGGAGAACCTCGGGAACCGCCGAACCCACTGGAAAGGGCAAATTCCGCAGGCTTGATTAACACCAACACCAACACCAACAAGTCATTTGTCAGCAATGTTCGCCCTCCAATCCACGCTCCGTATATATAAAATCCAGCGCGCGCTAACAATAACATCACTCCAGCAACAGTACACCACCTCTTTCACAACTTCACCGTGGCGTTTCGAGCAAGTCTACGCAGCATGACCAACTTCCAGGTCAATATCGTCAGCGACACTGTGTGCCGTGAGTCTTTGTTGTATCCACGATAAAATCCGAGACTAACCATTCGCTCATAGCATGGTGCTATGTGGGCAAGAAGCGCCTTGAAAAAGGGATTGCAGCTTACAAGGAGAAACACCCCGACTCCAACGACACCTTCTCCACATCCTGGTTCCCCTTCTACCTCAACCCAGATGCCGGGAAGAGCATGAGCAAGAAGCAAGTGTATGAATCCAAATTCGGAAAAGAGCGCACAGCAATGATGCAAGAACGCCTATCGGAAATCGGCAAAGCGGAAGGCATCAACTTCAAGTACGGCGGTAACACGGGAAACACACGTGATTCGCATCGCCTCGTGCAGCTCGGGAAAACCAAGGGGCCTCAGGTCCAGACTCGTGTGATTGAAGAGCTTTTTTCCGCGTACTTTGAGAACGAGAAGGACATCACGACCCACGAAGTGCTTACTGAGGCGGGCGTCAAGGCTGGACTTGACGAGAAAGAGGTCAAGGATTGGCTGGAGTCTGGCAAAGGTGGACCAGAAGTTGACCGGGAGGTACAGCAAGCCAGGCAGCAGCATATCACTGGTGTGCCGAACTTTACGATCAACGACCAATATGAGATTGGAGGTGCGCAGGAGCCAGCTGCTTTTGTTCAACTTTTTGAGCGCCTGAAGAAGAAGGAAGGGAGTCTTTGATGACATTCAGGACTATGTTTATAGGTGAATACATGAAATGAAATGCAATTTGATTACTTCCTTTCTTTGTCAATGGGCTTACTATACAAGTGTTTGGCAAGAGGCATTGCCGAATTTACATCGCAATTAAGTCGTGTGACAATGTCATGGGTTGAGAGAGCGCTTGTTCCGAAGCCTACCGAGGGGACTTGTGCATTTTGACGGCAATGAAGTGGCGATTTTGAAGTAGTGGGTTATCTTCTGCTACTTTCCGGTTCTGCCGTGGTATCTTCCTTGCTCTTTGTATTTACTGAACACATGATGCCATGTATTCCGCACGCTCCGTCGGATGAGGATGGAGCAATGTCTTGGGTTTCTCGGGTGTTTTTTTTGTGGATATACATGTTTAAATTTGCCAATGCAGCCTCCTCAGAATATTTGAAAATTGGTCCAATCTGCGCCTCAGGGGCAACTATTATATTCATTCCCAGAAATAACCAGATGTCGACCTTCCCATCGCACGTTAGTAGTTCACCGTACCCAGTTCTTAGCGTAATGCGGGTAACAGGTAACCGAACCTATCGCAGCCGCCACTAATCTGAAGCACTAGCACGGAGATCCTTCCTCCGTGCCCAAAACGGCTTCCCCGCATGGTATCACCTCAGGAGCCACGCTTGGACGGCTACTACCAACTGCCTATGCAGCATAGTGGATGGAACGGGATTTTACCCAGTTACTATTCGGAAAATCTTTCTCCGCACATGATGTCAGTAGTGTATTGATATGGGATTAGCCGCTGGCCCAACGGTCGGGGGTGCGGTTGCACTACAGCCGATGTGGGTTTGTCGAGGAGGAGTGGTATAAAAGGTTCGGGTCAAGGTGCTTTAAGGTGCTTGTTTAAGCTCGTCTTCTTGTTTCTTGTACCCGGGGGCTTTCAACATGAAGGCTTCTTTGCAGCTGCTTTTGGCCTCACTGGCTGCGGGGTCGGTGCTACCAAAGAATGAGCAGAGTTCTCATGAGTCTGCAATCGCAGATGACGATTTTGTTTATGTTGAGGGGACGAGGTTGTACAATAAAGACGGGCTTTACTATCTTACCGGTATGCTGACTATCTTTCTTTTTTCTTGGCCAAGATGAATGTTCTAATATGCATCTAGGAATGAACTACTGGGCATGCATGAATCTTGCTGCAAGTGATTCTGCAGGTGGCAACTACTCCCGCCTCGTGACAGAACTGGATCAGATGGCCGATCATGGAGTCAACCATCTGCGCATCATGGCGGGCTCAGAAGGTGCGCCGACACCGCAGCCTTTCCGGATGAGCCCAGCTCTACAAGAGGCACCTGGCGAGTATAACGAAGATGTTTTCAAAGGTCTCGACATTTGCCTTGCTGAGATGTCGAAGCGCGGAATGCGTGCTACCATGACACTCAACAATCAGTGGCAATGGAGCGGCGGCTTTGCCCAGTATGTGTCATGGGCAACTAACAACACCAAAATCCCGTACCCTCCAAGCTGGAACCTGACAGCACCGCCTCAGCGCGAGGTACCCGGCACAGGATGGGGAAATTACACTGAGCAAGGCGTGGATGCAGCATCATACAACGAATTTATTGCCTATGCCAATCTGATCTACAACAACACACAAGCAGAGCAGTGGTACAAGGACCATATCAAAACAGTCATGAGCCGGCGCAACACCATCACCGGACTACTTTACACCGAAGACCCGGCAATCATGACATGGCAGCTTGCCAACGAGCCCCAGCCCTCCGACATACTAGGATACACAGGCCCATACAACCTTTTCAGCGTACCGAATCCCAACGACCTGCTATTTCCCTGGGTGGACCGCATATCCCGATATATCCACTCCATATCACCTCGTCAACTCATCAGCGTAGGCCTCGAATCCAAGCAAGGCGAGTACTACTTCAAGCGCGTGCACGACTTCCCGACAGTATCCTACGCCACTACGCACTGCTGGGTGCAAAACTGGGGTGTGTACGACATGTACGGGGCAAGCGACGCAAACCTAGCCACCTCGCAGCAGTTTGCACGTGACTTTATGAAGAACTCGAGTCGCTGGGCGCTGGATATCGGCAAGCCTGTCTTCCTTGAGGAGTTTGGCATGGCGCGCGATAACTGGGTTAACAAGAACAAAGAGTACCCGTATTTGAGCAGTGCGCCGACGACGCACAAGGATGCGTATTTTACGACGATTATTGGGACCGTCATGGATGAGTTTAGGAATGGGGGTGCGTACGTGGGGACGTGTCCGTGGGCGTATGGCGGTGTTTATCGTCCGGAGACGCAGCAGGCGAATGAGTTTGGCATGGTGTGGGCGGGTGATCCGCCGCATGAAAGCCCAGGTTGGTATGATCTGTATGATGATGATCATGCCATGGATATTGTGAAGGCTCAGCACGAGATGATTGCGCAGTGGATTGCTGAGAATGGGAATGGGACCAGTCACTAGCATGGGTAGTGGTAGTTGCAAACTTAATGTCATGACTGTATTGTACAAGGCCCTATATATTCTTACAAGAAGCGTGCAGGATTGCTCTTCTTGAGCACCAGCGGATGCCGGTGGACACTGGGCATCAGGCCTAGGCCGACTGCTCTCCGTATCGCTTTTGCAATCTTTCTTTGGTTTTTTGGTCGTAGCCCGGTGTCCCTCGAGTGCTTTATGCGGCCCATCTCGGTCATGTACTCGGACATGATGGTGAAGTTCTGCTCGTCCAATTGTTAGATGTCGGCAGCCTTGATTCCGCCCAAATCACCAACGCACCTTGTACTCCAAGACGGGATTGACACCAAGGACGTCGAAAGCGTCCTCCTGTGGCCTCTTGCGGCCCTGCTTCCACTTCTTCTGCTCGGTTCCGCTTAGGTCATGTGGCGCATACACATCGCCAGGTTGCCACTTGCGGTATATCTGGCGCTGGTACTGGGAAAGGCGTTCTGACTCGGCCAATTCACGATTTGGGCTTGAGGCTGCGCGATCGAGGCCTACATTGCGGGCAAAGCGTAGAGCGGGAGACTCTCCCGGGCGCGAATTGGCTGTGTTGTTGGTTGAGGAGATGTTGGCGGGGTGACGGGCGGCTGCGCTCTGGCCGAGAATACTCATGAGGTCGTCTGGGCGGCGTATGTTAGAGAGAATATAGTGACGATGGTGATGGTGAAGGAATTGAGGGCGCACCTTGCTTCTGCTGGCCCGACGAAAAGCAGCGTATGCCCGTCCTCGCTACCGCCAGCATTGGACGTAATGATATTCGCATCACAGACATGTTGGTGGGTGCTCCTGCCGTCACCGTGTCGCTGTCGCTGTTGTCGTCGTGACTTTTCGACATGCGGCCCTCGTCGGCGGTCGGAGGTTTGCTTTCTTAGCGTTCTATGATTTCACCACACCATAGACTCGCCGCCGCCATCATCCCCTCGCCCCCCACCTGCTCTGCGCGCTCACCATCGCAACCTCTTTTTCGTGTATATAAATATTTTGCCCGTGTCCTCTGCTGGCCTCATGGAGCTTTTACCCGCCTAATCGCCACCATGCCCTCTCAATTGACCCGCGTCGTCTTCCGCAATCTCATCGCAAACGAGCCTCTGTTATATCGAGGATGTCGCCATCGCCCTCTTCGCCCCCGTACAGCCACCCAGCATCCCTCCCGATCGATATCCTATACACAACGGCGCTCCTTCTTCGGCAATCTCTTCAAACAACAGAGGAAGCTGAAGCCTGCCGAGCTGCCCGCTGGCCTCGAGAAGTTGACTGAGGTGGCATTCGCAAAAGAGAATGCCATTCGTCCGCCCAAACCCGCCGAAGTCGCCCAAGCGATCCGTGACTTTTTCTCCTTGTATAAAGGAAAATTTGAGGACTTCCATGTGGCGAGCGCCCACTACGCGCTGCAGTATCTGAAGGAAACACCACAGGACGATGGGCAGCCCTGGCTCACTATGAAAGACATGCAGGCGATTCTTGATCAGCTTCTGGAAAAGCGACCGAATGCGATTAGCAAGTGGCATCTTCCATTTGGTCAGATGCTCATTGATGAGCTTGCAAAATCCACTCAAGGCGACCAAGACAAGAATGGCAACGCAAGCCGGAAAGACCTCGATATCCCATTCGACATGTACATTAAGCTTTCCCAAGTTCGCCTGTTATCCCTATTTGGCGCGCCTACCAAGGCGAGACAGGTTGCGGCCAGCGCCTTCATCTACGATTCCAATGCCCCTGCTCCTGTACGACTAGCTTCTCTCTATGCATGGCAGACCGTACTTGAAAGCATCCTTGGTGAAAATGACGCAGGCGGAATAACAAAGACTGTAGATATGCTACAAGACCTGTCGATTCCCTTGACCCGCCCATTACAACGCATGCTAGTCTCACATTATGCAGAGAAAGGCGATCTTGAAAAGACCAAATCATGGTACTCCCGACCTGTCTTTTCCGAACTTGGTGATCCTGCGACCCCCTCGGGGAAGACAAGCTCTGCACTGCTGAGAGTTTGTGCCTCAAAAGGTGATCTGACTTTTGGTCAGCAGGTCGTAGCTACCTTGCTCAAAGATGCCATGTCTACCAAAGAAGCTTGGGACGCTGTCTTTCTATGGTCGGTAGCTATCGGCAAAGGGCCCGATGAGATCAACCGTATGATTGATGTGTTAATCCGTCGCAACGATCAGGCACGCCGCAAAGACCCAAGTATTCCTGTTATCCGCCCAGACGTCGAAACCATCAACACGTTGGTCGAACACTGCATGTCAAAGTCGGACCCTTACCTAGCTGAACGTTACATCGTTCTTGGTGAGAATCGTGGCATCATTCCCGATGAAACGACCTACACCATGCAGATAGCATATCGAATCTCTGTGGGAGACCTCGACGGAGCTAGGGCAGCCTACTTCAACCTTCAGGGCTGCTTTTCAGGTGCTGAACGCAGTGTTGCAGCCATCAATCAGCTGATACAGGCCCTCTGTGTATCAAACCAAAACCACTTTGACGAGTTGATGGCCATGGTAGACGACCTACACGAGCGCAAGGCCCACTTCGCCCCCGAAACTGTCGCGGCCGTGACCCTCCTGCATCTCCGGAGGGGCGAGATCCCAGATGCGATGGACCTACTGCAGGTACATGCACACCAGTATGCACCGGCTCAGCGGAAGATTATCCGAAATGCGCTTTCGGTCTTTATACTGGATGGCGAAACCAGCACAGCAGATGCTTGGGACGGCTATCAGATCCTGCGTAATGTCTTTGCTGAAACGCCCCGCGAAGACCGGATACCTATCATGAACAACTTCTTTGCTAGGAATCGTTCCGACATGGCTTGCCACGTCTTCTTCCACATGCGCAATCACATCAGCCCAACCCACACGGCAACCAAAGAAGTCTATGTAGCCGCCTTCACCGGCTTCGCTCGTTGCGCGGATGCCGAGTCACTAGAATTGGCAAACAACCAGCTGAAGCTAGATCTCCACGTGGACATGGACACTAAGCTGCGCAACTCCCTAATGCTCGCCTATGCCGCGACAGGAGAGAACCGCAAGGCGCTGCGGTACTGGAGGGATATTTGTGAATCAAAAGAAGGTCCTTCGTACGAGAGCATCCTCATCGCCTTTCGAGCGTGTGAGGGAATGCATCTCGGGTCCGAGCACGCCAGGTCCATTTGGACGCGCTTGAAAGAGCAGGATATCGACATTGACAAGGCCATTTGGACCGCCTACATGAGCGCCATTGCACGGAATCACAACCATGATGAGGCCCTGGCGCTTATAGAGACGGTTGAGGAGGAGTATGGTTTCAAGCTGGATTTGCAAATGTATGTCTGCGCTCAATGTTTTCCCACATCAATTGCCAGAAATACTAACAATCTCACAGTCTAGGTAGCTGGTTCAACTGCACTGCCAACAATGAGAAGCAAACGCGCGTCGAGGCATGGATCAAGAAGCGATATCCACAAATCTGGGACGAACTAGAAGCTTTGGGCCACTGGGTCACCATGGACGGGTTCGGTTATCGACAGTACAACCTTAACCGCGATCTCGACCCATAAAGCACTTTTGTAAAAAGGGAGTGAGAAGATCATGTACAAATCAAAAGCCATATCTGCGATTAATAATGTTGATGTTGACGAAGATATGATTGTGTATAGTATTGCATTATATTACTAATGACTAGTAGTAGCATTATGTACCTATATGTCACCCGTACTTGTGTCTTTGTAATCATCCGTGATTATCGTGATTAAACCAACTTTTCTCGCCAACACAGTAGAATCTCACCAGAGACAAGGAAGATTTCAAAAGATATAGCAGGTGGGAATCATGAGAGAGAAAGGAGAAAAAGAAAACATACCAGCCCTTCCCTTAAAAAAAAAGAAAGCCTTTAATCCCGATTGATAACCCTCAGACTTCTCCGTGGGTTCAGCAGCACACCTCGTGCACCCCAAAACGTCGGCTCATGCACATCCAAAAGCCCGTCAATAACGCTCCCCTCGCTGTTTCGTCGTGCCCACTCAGCCCCAGGGCCCGCATAGGCCGTGCCATCACCGCTATTCCTTCTCGCAATGTCAAAAGAGCCAGCGGCCACTCCTCCATTGCTGCTTCCACCCGCAGTGCCAGTGTTACGCTCGGAGCTGAGTTTGCCAGACGACGACGTATACGTGCCGTGTTTCTCTGCCGTGGCGTTTGCGCGTGTCTGCATGACGGCAGCATGCTTCTTCCAGATTTGGACTTGGCGGCGGTAGATCCAGGCGCAAAAGGCAAAGTAGGCGGCTACGACGAAGAAGACGCCTGCGATGACGCCGGCAATGATGGCACCAATGTTCGGACCGTCGCGGGATGACGAAGATGGGTTTCCGTTGATTACGTTGGTGATGGTTGCGCCGTCGGGACCTGTTACTGTGTAGGTTTGCGGCTTGCCTGTTGCGAGGGGGCCTTGGGTGGCTGTTTGATAGGGTGCAGTGAGTGTTGCACCGCCAGTGGGACCACCTCCGATCACCTGTTGTACTGGCTCAGGAACGGCGTAGCCATAGGATCCCTCGATTCCAGCATCGACGCCAAAACCTCGCTGGTTGATTTGCTGGGAAAGCGGATTACCCGTGCTGCCCTTGTCGTCCTTATTGTACCTTTGTAGCGCATTCTTTGCTGTCACGGCAGTGAACTGGTTGCTCCAGCTAAGACTGCTCATGTTGAAGACGTAGATGCCGGGCGTATCACATCCGAGGTTTGTGTTGTAACCTCCAAGAACAATCATTTGTCCATCCCACGCATGACACAAATGTCCGGCACGTGGTGGGGGGATACTCGCCTTTTCAGTACCCTGATCGACTTCAATCCAGGTAAACGACGGAACAGATAGGATCCACATGTCGTTTCGCTGCGTCTGGTTGCCGGGTGGTGTTAGGTCCTGGCCAGCAAACATGTAGATATTGTAAGACGAGCCGCTAAAAGCCAACATTAGCACATAGCCCAAGGTGCGATAGTCGGCGTATACTGTCGAGAAAAGAACTCACTCTGCTGCAGCCGCAACAACGGTACAGGGGTTGACGCGGTACTCTGGTGTATTTCCCGAAGTGGTTTGCTTGTACCATGTCGATGTCGCGATATCGTAGACATCGATGGTGTTCATTTGAGTCTACCACATTGTCAGAATCTCGAGTAAGTATATTGTTGTACGATTGAACTTACAAAGGTAGCATTGTCGCCACCGGTAACACCAATCAGCAAACCTTCCTTGCCAAAACCAGGAACATAGACAAGGGCACTATCAGCGCGCTCGGGGAAGGATGATGTGTTTTGCAGTCCACCGTAAGTGACGTTGCGGAACACGCCGTCAGATCCAGCAGTCTTGCCGTCACCCAAAGATTCGACATTACTATTACTGTATCCAGGGAATGTGAATTCCAACAGACTCTTCAAGTAAACCCTTGCGACCTGATTACTCCATCCCTCAGTGGTGAGAAAGTCCAGGTGGCCAGCAAAATAGAATCCCCTGCCTAATGTGCTGACGGTGAGACCAGCACCTTCGGCAACGCGCTGCACCGATTGTCCAGCATCCTCTGATTTATCACCGGCTGATGTCTTTGGGTCTGGATGTTCGATCCACTGCTGGCTTCCAATATTGTATTCCCACACTGAGTTGTTTCCTGCCTGGACTATAGGGCTATCGGAAAATTGGCCGCCATAGAGCCACAGCGAATCGAAAGATGACCAAAGTTGACCAAGCGATACAGCAGGTGGTCCGTTGGGCTTTGGAAGGCCTGTGAGAGCAGGCGAACTGATCTGCCAGGACTCGGTAAGGTCGAGGGTGAGGAAATCGTTATCTGTTGAGAGTTAGTATTGAACCCATAGAGATAGTAGGGTATGAATAGAACTAAGCGAACATACTCCACGTGTTTTCCGTTTGTTGAGCCTCAGTGGTCCTGCGGAAACCATACATGTACAGGGTGCCATTGACAATGGCACTCTGGCCACTCCATCGCCTACACGCATCAGTAGGACTATCTTCTCGCTTCATCAGCGATGAATGTTGGATGCTGGCTTCAATCATGTTTGCGGGGACAGCGCCAGCTCTTACACCAATATGCTTGAGTGGGTTGAACTGCATGATTGGTAGCATCAGGGCTAACAAAAGGCTCAATAGTCCTAGTCGGTAGACTCTCGCGGGCATGACTGATTGTGTTGTGGTGGCCGTCATGGAAGACATGGAGTCGTTGGTCTCGTCTTCATCGTACACTGATTCCCACTCGTCCTCATCGTCGTCCGAGTTTTGTCCTCTTTGATCAAAAACATCGTTCTGACTTCTAAACCGCAAAACCTTGACGGGCCGTAACCTCTTCAAAGCCTCACCATGTGCGCGCACCGGACTCCGCTCCTCGTGTATTTTCTGCTCATCCACTAGGCCAACCTCTGTAAAGACGGACATTCGACAACCGTCTGGTTGAGGGGCTGGTCGTGGCCGTACTCGCTCCATGGTTATGAATTTGTGTGGAAGCGAGAAGACAGTGCAGACTCGGAATGAACAGTCGATATAGCGAAAACGGTAACCAGACAATAGATGTTCCAGAGAGTACGAGTCGAGCTACTAGGCGGTAGCTAAAAAATCGGGGGTCGTGTCGTGTGAGGCAAGTGGGAGCGGGTAAATGTTTCAAAAAATGACGTCTTTAGTTCAGGAACCAAGGTCCGCACCCTTGACCTTCCAAACGAGAGAGGAGAGGGACCAGCCGTTGGAGTGATCGTCCCGGGACGGTGAGTGGTTGAGGGGGGCGTGGCAAGCGACCTTGAAGGAAGGAAGCGAACGCTGATTTGTCTAGAGCGGGTGTCGTCAAGCAGCGGTAATGACGATGTGCAAGCGAGAGTAGTAGTAGCAGGGCGAGGCGAAGGTGACACGCAACACGGGCGGGGATAAGTAGCGAGCGGCAGATTACAACAGTTATGAAGGATCAAAGGCAGCAGCAGGGCGATGCAGGGGAATGGAGAAGCACCGCCGGGTGTGGGGGAGTGAAGGCGGGCGGTGGCAGTAGTCGTGGTAGTGGTAGCACAGGTGGAACAAAGCCGGGCTCTTGTATACTAGCACAATGAGACCGACTCAGGCTGGCACCATGCTCGCAACGAGAGGCCGCTGCCACGGCTGACTGGCCGACGACGAGGGCACGTCATGGAGGGGGCCGGGACAGGCAATGATCGATATAGAATGGCGAATGGCTTGCAACGGCCAAATCGGGCGTTTCAACGGCCAAGTCGGCGCCGCATTGGTCACGTCGGGCGAGGCTGGCAGTGCAACAGCGTGACATGTGCCAAGTCCCCCGTTGCTTGGTCCAGAGTACAGTAGACGAGAGCATTTCCTCCACAGTCTGTCCATTGCAGAGCTCGCCCTCAGTCCGCCAGATCCGTTGTGTTTTACAATACATGCGCATGCTCAACTCTTGCAGCCCTGCCCGTTCCCGATGCTTCCGCTTCCATACTACCAACAACTGCCAGATACACTTTGCCCGCACATCCATGCCTGCACCCTTACGCACACACACACACACACACACATGCTCACGCTCACGGCGATTCCAATAGCTTGTGCAGCCTGCAGCCAATAGCATCCAATAAACAAGCAAAACCTCCAAGTGGAGCTGCCGCTTCGTGACCCTTGAAAAAAAAAGGGTTCCATCTTTAAATCTATTTTTGCCACCACTAAGCCCACGACGGTCCTCCCTCGGCTGGCCATGGCCATGCTCTACTGCTACGCTGCTGTGCTAAGTCTGTAGATACTAGAGTGTTGTGTATTGCGCGTGATGCAAGTTACATGTGTGCAATCCCAAGGCGTCGTCCTTTTCTACTACTTTGTGCATGCCCAGCTGCGCCTTCAATCGGCGGCCTAACGTTACGCTTCGGGTGCCAAGGGCAAGGCGGCGTATTGGCTTCGTATACGGGATTACCATGTGCGCGAAGACGGCCCAAGCAGGCATCGCCGGATGCGGGAGGGCCCCCTCCCCCCTTCCCAAGGATAACCCCACTCATCCTCCTCCATGCTCCAGAGTACTACCCTACTACGCACACCAAAGTCGCTACTCGCTTTTGTTCAATACACCCCTTCCTCTACGCGGGTTGGTAGTGCTCCTCAAGCTCAGTGCCATGCTCTTCGCTTATGAAATCCATGACATCGTCAACCGTCCCTGGAAAGTCATCTGCGTCCACTTCTCGCCCACGCTCGCCAATCACCCCAATCAACTCATGTAGCGCTGCCTTGAGAGTTTCCGTAGGCCAAGGGTACCCTTGGTCTTTGCGCACATCTTCCCAGTCAATCTCTTCTTCATAATCGTCCCTGCGATCCTGGAGCTTGAAGATGAGATCGTACTTGTCGCCCCACAGCATCTGATCTACACCCGCACCCGACGACGCCTCAGACACGCCCTTTTCCTCCTTGCCCCATGAAGCCCCCGACCCAACCACCGATTCGTCTCTAGCTTCTGCTGAGCCTTGCTCACTGGCTTGTGCTTCATCACCGCCCTCTTCGTCTGCTTCATCCTGCTCCCTCTCTTGCTCATCTTCGGCTTCTTCTTCTTCTTCTTCTTCTTGCACTGGCTCTTCCTGCTCCTCTTGTACCTGTTCCTCCTGCTCCACTTGCACTTGCACTTCGTCGACTTTATCCTGTCGAATTCCATCTTCGTCTTCTTCACCATTCTCCCCTACACCACCCTTCTCTCTTTGACCTTCCTCAGCCTCGTCAACTTCCTCAATCTCGCTTTTACGCGATCGTTTCTTCTTCTTCTTCCTTTTCTCCTTCCTCTTTTTCTTAGAATGTGAATCGCTTAGCTCGCCACTGCTATGCTCTTCCTCTGCTTCCCTGTCTGCTGACTCATCCCTTGCCATGCTTAGTTCGTCAACTTTCCCAGGCTTATCGGCTTCCGTCGCTTCACTCTTCTGTGTTTGTCCACGTTTCTTCTTCTCCGGTCGTGGCAAAACAGCTAGCCCATTGTCCAGACCCAGGTTCTCTTCCGGTTCCTGGTCTTGAGATTCGTCAGATGGTTCCTCGGGCTGACGACGCTTTTTGCTCGCTGTAACGTTTGTCGCAGGTTCGGGTCCATCTTCGGTCTCCTTCTCGGAGTTTTCTCTCTCCACATCTGAGTCCTCTATAGTGTCTTGAGACTTGTATTCGTTATTATCCACTGTGTCCTGCTTTTTCCTCCGCTTGCCTTTCTTCTTTGTGGGCGCATCATGCAATGCTGCCGTTGATGCTCTGGGCTTGTACTCTATCTCAATCTGCGGTGGATTGTCACGCTTCATCAATTGAGTCCATTTGACTGAGGCCTGAATGCGGCTGCGGGAGTTACCCATTTCGCGAGCAACTTGAGGCCAGCTAATATGTCTGTTGGTGTACGTGTCTAGTGACGGCCTTCCTGTCTTGGCGCGGTGATCTTCGTCTCTTTGCGCAACCGTCGTCACAGCACGGATAAGAAGTTTTTCTTCGTCTTCAGTCCAGCGAGAAGTCTTTCGTTGTTCGCCGTACTGTAAGTAGTCGCGCCATCGGTTCACGCAGTCGTGCATCGAACGGTCGCCCATGGTAATCGAGATGAGCTTCCATTGGTTTGGATGCGCAGCCTGGAGATTTCGCAACTGCTGGTCCTCCTCTTCTGTCCATGCACCACTCTTGAATTGGTGATATAATTGACGGATATGCCTCCTCAGTCTGTCATGTGACCGAGTCATGCCAATATTCTTGATTTCATCCCAGAATTCCGTGCTCTCTCGCTCATCCTCGCGGTCCTGAGGTGTCCAATCACTCTTGTTCCGATTAACACCCGGATCACGGTGAAACCTGGGATCATACTGGTTCCATTGGATAATTTCAACAAGCTCAGAGATGTCCAACCCCTTTCGCTGTTGAAAATCTAGGATGGCTCGGCGAATCAGCTCCTCTTCGTCCTCGGTAAAGTCGCCACTCGTTCGCAGATCCGGAGGATGGCCAAGGTCACGAGAGGCATTAAGCGCCCTTTCAGCAGACGAAAGTTCACTGATACTGCTGCCATTGTTTCTGCGAATCTTCATCACACCTGGGCCATCTAAGCTTTCCTTCTTCTGCGCTTTCTTCCGCCCTTTCTTCTCCTTCTTCTTCTCTTTCTCCGCCCCCTTTTCCTTGCTTCTCTTCTTTTGTGTCTTTTCATTTCCCTCCTTTTCTGACGGAGCATATGGAGGGTCCTCATCATCAGTAGATATGGGATCTTGCATCAAGATGTCATCGTCTTGTTGGTTGTTGAGTAATGCACTCGGCAGTTGGCCGGGTTTGCGCACCGAGGCATACCAGTCATAGACATCGCCATTACTTGCTGTCTTCTTTTTCTTTTCACTATGCTTCTTGCGAGTCGAAGCTACTTGCACCTGGTCGCCTTCCTCTCTATCTCCAGACTGCACAAATCCATTATTCGCAAATGGCAAAAGAGCTTCATGAGCCCCGTTAGTAAGCTCTGTTTCATCATCTGGGATATCATAAATGTCCTTGACCTTTGCAATAGGCGTATGCGGCTTCTTCACTCGCTTCAATTTCGTCTTTTTGGTTTGCTGCATATCGACATCGTCATTGGGGCTTGTTTCTAGAAGGTCTTGGAGGGTAGTTGCCGACTTGGGTGTACCAATCTTCCGCCTTTTAGCTGGTGCAGGTGTCGCATCTACAGCTCCTGGTGATCCTCCATCTGTATCCCTGGTGCGTGGACGTTTGCGCTGAGGAGTCGGGTGCGAAGGCGAGATTGGGTCTTCTGTGCCTGTGTTTGTGTCTGCGAGTTGGTCCACAGTCTCGCCGAAAGCAGCTTCCTGAGCAATCTCATCTCTCTTCGATTGCCTGTTCTTCTTGTACGTGCGCTTGGTCTTGGTGACACTGGAAGGCACTGTGTAGCTGGATTTCGGCGGCGAAGCGGGTGCGTGGACAGGAATAGCGACAACCTGAGAATCAGGCACGTCAATTGTAGGCAATGCTTGTGATGTACTCGGAATCATCTGAAGGTTTCCCGACACTGGGCCGGTGATCTCTTCGGCTTCTGGCTGGGTCGCTGGAAAAGGAAATGGCGAGGACGCTGGAATTGCGGGTGGGCTGGCAGCATTCCGCGTGTTCGCAGATAAAGTCTCGGAGGTTTTCTGCGTCGCCTTCGATTTGTTCTTCTTGCGCTTTTTCGGCGCAGATGCGGGCTTGTCGTGAGCGGCGTCGGACTGCGGAAGCTGTTGAGTGGGATCATACGTGGGGTCGACGCGCGCGCCCTCGTCCATGAGCTGCTGAGATGCGGCTACGTCATCCATGTTTGGGCCTATACATTGAGTGCATTAGGCGCGTGTTTGTTAAAAAAAATTACACCAAGCTGAGAAGACATAGTCTCTTCACGCGTAAGATTCGTGTACTCACTAGCAAAGCGGGACTTGGGCTCCGGGCTGCTAGGGGAAGGTCCGGCACCAGCGTTGACATCGCGGCTTGAGGTAGGGACAGGTTGTGAGGAAGAAACACCCATCCTTCGCCGCAAGTCGTTGAAAATAGCATATCCAGGCCCAGTCGTGACCATCGGAGCCATGGGTATATTTCCAAAAGTTGCGGCTTTGCGATATTATGTTCAACTTTGGCAAAGCGCGTCGGGAGACTTTTTGGGCGTTCCTGGCTAGCACGCATGGGGCTAGCCGGCTCATGCTTCACCAATCACTACTCTAATCCTGGCTATGTACAAGTCATCGATACCTTCTATACCCTGTTCACCCTCCCTTTCCCATTAACTGAATGCGATCCAAGTCCAAACCCCAACCCCTTCTAACATCAGCACCAGTATACCAATGCCCACCCCATCCCCCACATGCTTACTTGTCTGCTCCTCTGCATCTCCCTCCATTCCTATCTTACCAGAACTCATAAAAATCCATATTAACACTGCTGTGATACAACCAAGCAAACAAATCGCGAGTGCCATCAGAATGCGAAATGTGCATGGTGTATGCAGGAATTCGATTGTTGTGATCGTCGGTGGTGGGAGTCGGCTTGAGTCTCTCATATATGGATATGTCTGCACAACGGAGTTTGATGCTGCGATCCGCCTCGCCCAGTGAACCCACATGAATCTTTCTTGTCCTATATGTGGCTTTCTCAGTAGTTTGATCAAGCCTTCTTCTGTCAGCGGATGTTGGGTGTCTTCAGAGATGCAGATCCCATCCCCTGCTGCTAGCAACCCTTCTGTAGTCGTCTGAGTCTGAGTACCACTCCATACATTGGTTTGACTGAGGCGTACGGCACATAGCCTGTGAGCGCTGAATGTACGAAGGAAGCAAGATCCAGCTAGTTTACGGTGGCCAGCTTGGAGGTCTTCTGCAAAACGCTTGTCGTCGAATGCTAATACCTCTCCAATCCGCATTCGTGTCTTCTCGGGATAGCTGCAATCATGGAGTGAAGATACGTTTGGCACGTCGAAGCGAACCATTTTTCTCCTCTTTCCATCATCACTGTCTTTCATCCAGCCATGTTTTCGCAAGCTTAGCCAGATCATACTTTCAGCACTAGCGCTCCCAGACTGAAAATCACTTCCCTTCAATCCCTGTGATTTTATTTTCCTTTCATGCCCGCTTCTTTGCAAAAGCTTCTCCTCACTGGCAACAAAGCCAAGCATACGGTTGCCTTTGCAGTCACCAAACGTTGTCTGGTCTTCTCGATTGACATTAGCATTAATATCATTTAGCTTTGCGGACTCTTCCATCCCCCGATTGTTGACACTAGGATAAGAACAGCTCCGTTGAGTATGTGGCTTGAATTTCCTATGCTCCTTCTTAGTCGTCAAGGGATACTGTGTCTCAGAAAAACGAGATGGTATATAAACAAGGCGATCGCTATTGGCCGACAGTAGAGATGACAACGTTGTGCGGCTACTCGGGCAGGACGACGACTGTGGGGATTCGGAAGTAGTAGCTGATTGCAGGTATGTGAATCCATGTGGAGCCACTGGTGGGAGATCGAGATTTCGTGACTCAAGTGCATGCATGGTTGCCATGTGGGCATTGATGGTTGAGTCGGCCATCATACTCTCGGACGCAGTTCGTCTATGATAGTTTTGAGATGTCGGACTTAGTGACAACAGAGCACGAGAGTTCTCTTCATCTCTTGAAGTGAGACATAAACAAGATTTCTCCTTGTTTCCGTTTGAGGATACGCAGTCGAAATAGTTGCTCTTAATTGAATACCCTGGACTGTCGATACCCGGACTATGCTGCACTAGCCGTACAGTATCCTTATTTAGACGCAGCAGAGATATCCTTCTTGCTCTTTTTGGACCTCTCTCCTCGTTTTCAAAGGAACCCGATACGTACTCAACGTTCGTTTGATCATCGTCGATACCAGATATGCTGTGAATGGAAGCTTTTACAGGTCTTGACAGCAAGGCCATTGAATTTCTTTTCCTGCTTTTTCTTTGCTGTATCCAGTCCGTTTGGTCGACTGTAAATGTTTGCATCATGCTTCTGACGTTGTCTTCCCAATCTTGGTCGGATGAATTGTCGGGGGTGACATCAGTCCCAAGTACCAATTCTTGGCTCACAATGTCGCTCATATCAAGGCGTATAGAGTCTCGCCTGGCAAAAAAGGGGCCAATCACTTGTGGTGATGATGCTGGACCAGAAGAGAGTCTCGTTGATGGATATTTGTATGAAATTGCCTGAATCACGTTTGGGTAACTGGGTGACACCACTGGAACCATTGAATCGTATTTGAAGCTTGAGTGGTGCAAAGACGATGGCCTAGCAACTGGAAATTGCGCAATTATTGTTTCCATACTTTTGCAACTAAACGCGTAGGTCAACCAGGGCTTTCAATTCCAACGCACAGAAACCTTGTTTAGGAAATCCCTTCCAGTTGATCATCACTCGGCGACCTGTGCAAAACGTGGTGATGAGACGGGTGGTGAAAGAAGGAGATAAGCATTGACGCAGAACAAAGCAAGAGTCGAGGTACATTGGCGTATCGCGGTAGTGGGTGCTTTGCAGAGATCGGTAGGAAGTGTATACATAGAACAAAGGAAAGTCGCGCGAGCATACGAATATGAACTAAGTTACGGTTGCGGTTGCGGCTGCGTTATATTTACCTCCATTGTTGAGTTCAGCACGTGCATCGAGCACACCAGAGGTAGAATAGAATGATTGGAAACGGCGGTAGTGGATAATAATAGTTTATTGGAGATACACGTAGAGAAGAATTCATCTAGAAACCCCCTTGCTCTATAGCTATGTCTTGCGGCGAATCTAAAAACGCCATTGCAATGCCACCAACGTGTTGATATCAACAAAACATGACCGTAATCGGAAAACAAAATGTCCGTCGTAGAAAATTGATGAAAGAGTATATGAGAGTTTTATTCGACGTCTCGGTCGAACATCTTCGTCATTGCTTTCTGTGCCAGCTCTACGCCGGCAAATGTAGCTGCGTTTGCAGGTACTGCTCGTGCCATGGCAGGTCCGATACCAGGGAAGAAAGCCTTGAGACCACCACTTGCGTGGATGCCTTTGATAGTTCCGCTGATTGTTGGTCGGCCTTCTGCACTCTGCAGGCGGGACTTGATGGTGTCGACTGGGAACACTGGAATCCACATGGCAATACCTGCAGCACCACCAGCGACCATCACGGCACCCATGCTCAATGAGCCAGGCTGCCCTGTGACTGGGTCCTTTGGTGTGAGGTTGCGCTTAACAATTTCGTATGTCGCGAAATACAAAGCTGAGCCTGGTCCATCACGCGCCAGTGTCATGGCAGAACCACGGTAGACTGAGCGGATACCACCCTCCTTGTAGAGTTGTCGCACAACATCGAGGCCGCCAGAGTACTTGGGCTTCTCACCAGGTGCCAGCTGTTTTTGACCTTGGATCTGTAGAAGCACTTTCACGCGCTCAAAGGGTGCGGTAATAATTGTCATGGGGATTGCGCTGAAGAAACCGGCGGCAGAGACCTGGGCGACGCTGTAATGGTTGTTCTCAACCTTTGAGACACTTGATACAAGCTGCTTGCCGAGGTCGTAGCCCCAAAATGAGACGGCAACTGTTCAGCGTCAGCTTTGTTGTTCCAAAAACCATCCTTTGACCAGCTGGCTTTCTAATACTTACACATTGGTGTAACACCGACAAGAGGCGCAGAAACACCCGCATATAGGCCCCTAGCCACACCTTCCTTTGCTATTGTCTTCCTTACGACGTCCATAGCTCCGCTGTACACGCCCTTCTCCGCTGTTTGCATGCGCACCTTGACCAGGTCGAAGGGATGTCCCACGATGACGGCGCAAACACCACCCACGCCTCCAGCTATCAGCGCTCGCAGCGACTGAAGCGAAGACTTGGTCGCCACTTTAGCATCTTCTTTGAGCTCCGCTGTAGAGGGTAGCTTCTCGATAACGGCGTCTGCGGTGCTTGACATGTTGGTGGGAGGCTTTGGTGGGGCGTTGTCAAATAGTCCGAGTAACGATTGCGCTTGTTAGAGGTGGCTTGAAGACGGAAAGAAGATGGCTCAAGCAAACTGTGAGCTATGCGATCGCTCCCACAGCAATTTTGAGGAAGAGAAATATGTGTAGTGAGGGAGAAAACGGAATTAATTTCAGCATGTGAGCACTTCCAACACTACGTCGGAGCTGGGCCTACGTCGGTCCAGGGCTCGGCTGGCTATTTGGCGAGCCGAGGCAGATCGCGGCTGAACACCCGCAACCCACCTCGTGAGCATGGAGCATCATCCACGTGAGTCGAAGGCGCTACCAGTACTGTGTAAGGCTTTTTTTTGTTTAAAACCCCTACATTAATGGATATTGAGGCGTCAAAAAAGCTACCCCGCCCACACGGACGTCGTCATCATCGCAGATATTGCTTCGGGCCAACGGGTGACGGCATGAGATATTCTGCATATGCACAAAAGAAATCTACGCGTGATTTCTCGCCCTGCTAGGCCTACTCTGACAACCTACACATAGAGGCTCTGCTGAGCGTCTCATACTAGCCTGCTGACCGTTTCAAACTCGGTGGCATGTGAAAGTTTCGTCACTAGCAGTACTACAACTGTACTCAACTAGATGTTAAAGGTGCTAGGCAGTTCTTAGTCCGTTTCTTGGTCCCCGACCATTCACTTAGCGCGATTAGCCAGTTTCTTCGTCTTCTTTATTTCACATTCCAGTGTTAATTAGGATTATGCGGTACTGTCATTCATTTATCAACCCTCCTCACCCTTGTGCATATCTACATTTACTATCCACACCGAGCTAGCATGGTCATTGAATTCACATAATAGTCGGACATGGGTTGAATAATCTCAGCATCACCCTGCATTCTTTGCTTGTTATGAACAAGGGGTATGGTAAGTACCGGAATAGGAAGATTCCTGTTGCAACTCGACGGTTCAAAAAAATTTGACGCAGAATGGGACATTGCAACAGAAAGTAACTAACTTCCAGAACCACCAATTTCAAGCTGACCCTACATACGAACCCCCGCACTTGCAGCTCTCTACGGACTTGTTAGCCCCACCACAGAGTTCCACATTTCTTATCCACAATGTGGAAAACGTTGATTCTCGAACTGCCGAAACTCATGTTGATGGTGCTTTGCTGTAGTATATAAATTATAAAGTGTTAGATTTCTTCATCGATTGACACAATCACGCAGGCACTTTGGCGGAGTGGTTAACGCGCTGGCCTGCTAGTCCTCTGTATTGAGGGAAGTTAGCCAGTTCCTTCGGGAGCGTGTGTTCGAATCACACAGGTGTCGGTCTTAGGCGTTGTGGCGGAGTGGTTATCGCGCAAGACTAGAAATCTTGTTCCTTCGGGAGCGTCAGTTCGAATCTGGCCAACGTCGACTTTTTTGCTATATGATATATCATTTTGCTGGGTCGCATTCAAGCCTTAGTATATGGGATGCATGTGGATAGTGTTCATTTTTGCTTGTGTTGTGGTCCGGTGAATCTATCCTCAGCTTAGGGCTGGCGTTTTGTAGCATCATCAGTGCTGAGTGTGTGGCATAGTGGTACGTTGATCAAGTTGAGTATTATTTTCTAATATGGAGTGTGATGCCCTCTGTGTAAGCTTCAGGCAATCGTACAGATGACCTTACCCTTTGTCTTGTTTTCCTCCAACAACCTTTGCGCATCTTGAATCTGCTCCCATGGCAGGACCTTTTCTACATAGAGCTTGAATGTGCCATCTTTCATTTTCGGCAACGCGTGCTCTACGAGTTGGTCTCTGAGTTTGCCCTGATACGCTTCATCGCGGCTCCTTAGACTGCTACCGACATAGCTGCACCTCTTCCTGATGAATGCGCTAATATCCGTACCCTCTGGCAATTTAGTACCCCCCATGAAACCCAGGTTCACGATGACGCCGTCCTTGGCTACGGCCTCGAGGTTCTGCTGGAAGTACGATGCGCCAATGAAGTCGACAATAATGTCTACTCCTTTGTTATTCGTTGCCTTCATCACCTCGTCGACCCAGTTTTGAGAAGTGGTATTGAATGCGGCGGTAGCACCCAGCTCCTTCACAGCGAACTCGCATTTGGAATCCTGACGGGCTGTAGCATAGACGGCAGAGGCGTTATCAGCGCGGGAGAGTTGGATACCGGCAATTGAGACGGATGACGCTGCTGCATGCCAGAGGATGGTCTTTCCGGCACTGAATTGGCCGATCAGGTACATAGCTTGGGTGGCTGTTATCCATGTCTGTAGTCCACACGTTAGCTCATCACCCTCTCTTATACAAGCGGGAGGAACCTACTTCGGGAATCCCCGCGCATTGCTCCCAAGTCAACTCCTTTGGTTTCCTCACCAACATATGTGTTGAGACTGCGATGTATTCTGCATAAGCACCTCCATATGCCAGGCCAAACACTTCATCTCCCTCCTTGAAGCCTTCTTTTCCGCCGCCTTCTTCGCTGAGTTCCGCGATTGTACCCGAAAACTCAACACCTAGGATTTTGGAAGCACCAGGCGGGACGGGGTATTGGCCCTCACGCTGCAGCAAATCCATGCGGTTCAGGCCAAAGGCCTTGATCTTGACAAGCGCTTGCGACTTTCCGAGTTTCGGCTTGGGCACGTCGGCGATGTGTAGATTCTCGAGAGGGCCTTTGCCATTCTTGATGTCTGAAGACTCTTAGTAAAGCAATGTTTTGGGATGCACAGAGGTGTGTACTGACCTACTGCACGCATTGTGTCACTCATTCTGATAGAACTTGGTTGTGTCGATTGTCTTGTTTAGAATACAAGTAAGAATCCCAGTGTCAAAGACGTAAATCACACGATTGAGCTGCACCAAGCAAGAGCTAAAATATGTACTTGTTCCTATTTCCGAAAGCATTCTGTCCGCTACCGAAATGATTGGTAATGACGTCTGAGCGGGGCAGCTCCACGACTCATGGAGCTAGCAGCTGTAGTGGGGTGCATTGTACCGGACAACATAGGCAACAGGAAAGAGGCACTTGATTATGTATTTTGGTATCATACAATCAGCTTTGCTAGTGCGTGTTCAGTAATGAACACGTATGCGGCCAGAGACTTCTGAAATTCCATACATTGCGGAGCATTGTTAAAGACTAT